AACATCCTTGAGCAAGATACTAGACCCAAGTTGCTCTCCAAGGCATCGATCAGAGTATGAATGTCTGTTAAGGTTACACAGAAAGCACTTATGTAGAAAAAGCATAGATAAAAGTGAATGAGGGGAGTAGTTTAATGTGCTTTGTGTGCTCGGGTAGAATAGAAAAGCCATATATAAGAAACAGTCCATTTACCCTGTTTTTTTAAAGAACGTATTATTGTTAGGGATTATTCTATCATTGCTTTTTAACCTCCTACGTGTCATTTCTAATAATAACCACTGTAGCAAAAGTAAAGGTACAGCTGTGAGGGGAAACTGTGACTTCATGGTTTTGAATATATCAAAGAGGGTCTGTTGTAAAAAAAAAGGTGGGATGGAGCTGAAGCGGGGTTTAGAGGGGAGTGGGGTTGGACAGTTGGAGGTGGGCGTGTGAAAGGCTGGACCAGTCAAAGCTGGAGTTTAAATATAGGCATCAGAACAGCAGTCACTTGTTGTTTGGCTCTCCCCCCCCTCTCCAGCCACCAAACAGACCAGTTTGTGTTGTTGACTGGTTTAAAAACCTCTAGTTCTGAATGTTCATGGCGCAAAACAGCAAACATCTGGCATCACAAGTCAAACTGCTTTTAGACTGACTAAAAAACCTATATAAAATACAGCTGCTTTGAAGTGCTCTACATGAATTTCCAACGCCCCTTTCCAGCCGGGTGTGGCCTGTTTTCTTCTTCCCAACAAGCTTTCTCATATCTTAGACTGAACTATGTTTTTAAAAGTCAAAAACAAAAATGTGAGACCACTTAAGGCAACTTATTCAACTTCTTCTGGTCTTAAAATATTTGAGATTTCCCGGGTCCAGTTTTCCATGAGAACAGCAGCAGTCAGACCATATGGGAGCCAGATCTGTTTGAGAACAGTTCACAGGCTGTTTGTGTGTTTGCTGCCAGCATTTCACAGCTCTGTCTAAAAGCACCTCACTTAAGGAAAACAAATTCTCACACAGGGGCCCCTTTGATGGACTGACGAGGCTAAAAAAAACAAGTGAAAACTGATTTGATATTTTCCAGCTCGGGAGAATAACAGCACAAGGAAAGCAGTGTTTGCCCATTCAGGCGTAGTCTTGATTTAAATGCACGTTTTTAAAATCTCATGGGATTTACTCCAATTTCAACCCTGCCAGCTGTTTGCATGACGTCCTTCATGTATAATAACTTTGTACATTTAATGAAGCAATGCTATATTTCACATTTATATAATTAAAATTATGTTTCAAGAGTACAGAGGTGTGAAATTAATGCTCTTTTTCAGCATTAGTTTATTAGTGCAAGACCTATTCACATGAAATTTTCAGGGTTCAAAAACACGTTAAATCTCTGTTCAAAACTGCAGAAAAATGAATTTTACTCCCACTCTGAAGCTAAAATCTGTTTTTTGTTTACTTAAAGTGCACATGGATGAGGATCGACACCCTGGATGTGTGATCGGAATTCTGATTTATTAGAGAGAAAGGATCATGAAATTCCAGATAAGTTTCTGGACACATGAGCCAAAACTCAGACCAAGAAACTCTACGACCTTCCTTGAACCACTCACACAGTAGAAACTAGATTTCACAGATGCTCAATCTGTGATTGGATGGCTGCACATCTGTAAAGGAGACTGAACGTTGTATACAAGCTTTGGGCAAACAGACAGCTTCTTACTTATTTCAGGAAGACAAAGCCAAAAATGCATCGTGCACTTGTTCCAACAGCATGACTTTGAAGTAAAGGAACATCTAGAACTAAACTGATCTGTCTTCATTCCAGACTCGGCACTTTCCAGAAAAACCTGAAGCATAATCAAAGAGGAAACCCAACAGAGGACGCCCGGAACTGTGAAGCAGGTGAAATCCTATATCAAGTAAGAATGGGGAAACATTCAGCATTAAAACTGCACCAACCACGTTTTTCATGTTGCAGAGTGTTACACTTTGATAGATTTGCCCCCATCTTCTTGTTCTTTCTTAAATAAACATGTTGTTAAGCAGATATTTAAAAGGCAATCACATTTTTCACCTCTCTGATTTTATTTGTTGTTTTGCACCCAGCGTTTCAGGAAACAGAGTCCACGGCATGATGCAGAGAAGAGATAAAAACTAAAGTTACACTGTGTTAAGCACACTGAGCATTTTGATGAATGATGCTGCAAATAAACCTTATAGGAAATCAAAATTAAAATGATTAAAATGTCCATCACACAGACTTGGAAGCAAACACAGTCGAGCGTAAGCAGATTTGTAGCACAGCCTGTTTCTATATCAGAGCACAAAACGGAAATTTGTATCCTGTTGGGAATGGTGAGAAAGGAAAGACAACGCCAAAGTCAACCCCAAACCTCCACAAATAGCCTCTAAACTTATTAAGAGCTTGCTGTTTTTTGCTTTCTTTTTTAGAGATGATTTAATTTTATGTTTGCACGAGAGGAAATGCCCTGCTGCTCAGTGTTTGTAGCAAAAGAGTCAAATCAGTAAATACAAAAAACCTGCCTCCAAACAACATTGTTTTAAAATACAAGCTTGGACACATACAGTAAACATTGACTGTAAACCACAAGTTCAAATGTCCTGAAGGAAATCCTTTCATAACTGTTCCTACAAAAACATTGCTGCTTAAATCGTGGCGATCGTGGCTCAAGAGTTGGCAGTTTGTCTTGTAATCGGAAGGTTGCCGGTTCGAGCCCTAGCTTGGACAGTTTCGGTCGTTGGGTCCTTGGGAGCAAGCAAGACACTTCACCTGCCGCCTACTGGTGATGACCAGAGGGGCCGATGGCGCGATATGGCAGCCTCGCTTCTGTCAGTCTGCCCCAGGGCAGCTGTGGCTACAACTGTAGCTTGCCTCCACCAGTGTGTGAGAGTGATGGAATTGTAAAGCGCTTTGAGGTTCTCGAAAAGCGCTATATAAATGCAATCCATTATTATTAAATCTAACAAACTCAAAAGTTGAAGATGCAGTAAGAGCAAAAACATAGAAACAAAGCTTTTATCTGGTTACCTGCTGAAGTTTTTCCTCAGAAATATCACATCAGCCTAAACCAAGCGTGCCTCAAGAACACACTGATCCTGAAACAATCATCTTTTTTTCATGACGAGCACAAAGTGATTAACTAAAAAGAACAGTCTGTGGCCATTAAGGCCATTTTGTTCACATAAGAAAATAACTATCGCTCTCATTTTTTTTTTTTTTTTTTTTTTTTTAAAGATACCTAGGACAAAATATTACTTCCTTTGTTTCCGAATCACTTCAGCTTCACCCCAGTAATAAAAGGTGCATCTTATTTCACCCCAATTTGGCTAAATATGTGTACTTACTGTGTTGCTTCATGTAGATCACTTTAATAAGAGCCACTGGTGAAAAACATAACAGTGAACACAAATCTCAGTTCTTCACACGATTTATGGGACAACATTATTTCCTCTGCATTCACAAAGGACGGTTAAACTCGCTTTACATTATACAGCCTGCTTTGATCATAAGATATTCCACTTCCTGTCAGTGTGAAGAAGTTTAACTGAGACATCTTAATGTGAGAAAAGCACATCTTAGTATTTATAAATGATTAAGACATGCTGCTAGAGTAAATGAAAGAAATCCTTCAGTGTGAGTAAATTAATGTGTAAAATTAGGTCTGGTAACTAATTTCTCAGACTGTGCAACAATTATAAAATCTCAGAAAGCTTTTATTTTATTCCACTTTTAGGCTAGTTTAGTATTTAAAAGAAAAAAAGTAAAAAAGAATTACCTGTTTTGAAAAGCCCGGGAAGTCTTTATCATTAGCAAAAGTTGTAAAACTTATGAAAACATAAAGTCCAACATTTATGGCGTCCAGATTGGAGTCACCTGGCTAATTCTGTGGCGAACCCTGCTGTAATATTTCCATTTGACCACAAGGTCTGGGTTACTTCACCCAACTTCTTGAGAAAATTAGATGAAAGCTGTGGAAACACCAGCACAACCAGTCTGGAATGATATGAGATGCTGTCCAAAAAAAAAAAAGTTTTGCAACTCTGCCAAGAAAATAAATCTAAATTTTAAAACCGTGACTAATTTAAATTAGGCCTCTTCCTTATTCAAGGTCGTCTCCTTGTGCCATTTCTAGGTCACATCACTGGGTGACTTCTTCCTTTTCCCTTAAATGAAATTCATGTTGAAGGATCCCCTTTTTGAAGAAACCGAGTGCTTAGTCATTGGGCTGATGGGGTAATATCAATAATCACGTCACACGAAACAAGCAGAGTTCTGTTTTTGTCTTTATTTAATAAGCTGGTTCATAAATAATCACACATAAAAGATTCTTTCAGTAGTTACAAAGTGGGTAGCAACTTTAGTTAGCGCCTGGAGAAAAAAAATAAAACAAATGAAGAGAAGACTGCCGGCGGGGGGAAAGTTTGTGGAGCGCGATCTCAACAACTCGGGAGTTCATAAAGCGGAGCAGAGAAGACTGAGCTGACGGGAGGTTTAAACATCCGACTGGTGTCCCATCACGTTCCCGGCAGCCGTCGCTCATCAGCAGACTAGCAGCAGACAAAAAGGTGGCATGCGTGTTGCCGTTCAAAGCACATGCCCAATTTTTGTTTCTGTTCTCCAGTGTTTTCAAAACAGTCTTGAAATGAAACAAAGGGAAGGGAATGTATCGGGAAATTTAAAAAAAAAAAAAAAAAGGAAAAACAAGGAAAGAAAAAGCACAAGCTACATTTTAGGCTCACAAAACAAACTAAAAGATGTTGAAGTGGCATCTTCTTGGCTCGACTTTCTCCTCCTCCTCTCGGGAGCGATGGATTTACGAGAAGGTTAAAATGTTTGACAGTGGTTAAAGAGGCGGCAAGAGCCGCTGCAGGATGTTTGTTTTTTAGCAATTTCATTCGTTCATTCATTCATTTCGGTAACTCGTTATTCTTTTCTAAAACTACCTCTTCCCTCCCCTTCTGCTGGTCTAACCGCAGGTGACCAACAAGCTTTGATTTGAATGAGACCGTTTAAAAGAAGGGGAGGAAACCTGCCTCGCTAAAACTGGTCTGACGCAGCGATGGGTGTCCATTGCTGGCTAACGCTAGTTTTCACTCTATCAGATTACAAGTCCTTTCATGCTCTTGTTTAAGGAATCTAGTGGTCAAAGTTTTTCTGAGCGTGATGAGAGTCTACTTGGACACTTGCTGCTGAATGTGCTGCAGAAATTCATGATAGGAAGAAGCCCCCTCTGACCGGTCCTCCACCAGGTGCTGGAACAAAGTGGCTTTGGCCGAGGCATCATCTCTGCGGGAAGGGAGGGAAAAAATGCATTAAAGGGAAAGAAGAAACTGGTTTGTACATTTTAATGCTCTGTAAGTCTAAGAAGTGTTGGAATCTATTCCACATAACTTGAAGCATTGCTGACATGTCAGCTCTTAAACACAACACTCTCCTGCATCTTCTACCTCACTGACTCTGAACTGACAGCTGTTCGTACAAATCCCCAGCATGAGAGTTTTTCTCTAAGAGAGTTAGCGGAGCCACCTCCTCAGGACCACCTATTCAGCAGTCAGAGCCAAAGCCCTCCCTGTCTGTTTTCTTTTCTTCTTCTTTTTTTAAATGTCTGTCTTTAATTTCAAAAAGACATCCATGAAGCACGAGTTCCCAGGCTGGGCGAGACATTGCTGGCTTCTCTAACCCGACTTGCAAGAGCAGAAACTGAACGTCTGATCTGACGTCTGGTTTCTCTCTCAGAGCTCGCAACTGCTTGTAGTCAGACCTTGGCTTTACTTTGAGAAATATATTCCCAACGCAAAAAAAAAAAAACAAATAAAAAAACCCCTGAGATTTGCCAGAATGAAATGTTATAAAAGTGACAAAACAAGAGCCATTAAGGAGCCGCCTTGAGCTCTGGAGATAATGTGGTGTGATATTTTTATTTATTTGACATTTAACAGGCTTTAGAAAGTCCCGCATAAACAATAAAGATGTAGCTCTCTGCTGCTTAGCCGTCTGCCTCTTTCGTCCCTTTGTTGCTATGCTTATAAACAGCTCATTGCGCACCTCTGCATTGTTTAACTGATACCTACAGTGTGTCTAAAAAAAACAAAAAACAAAACAGAGATGACGGTCTTACGTGTAAATGTCATTCTGCCACGTAAGCGCTCTGACAGCAACAGGCACACAGCTTTGATGTCTGCACCGAAAAAGGGGGAAGCACCATCAACAAAGCTCAGACGCAGATGAGCTCAGTCAAACCAGGACATTTGACACCTCCATACATACTTGTACATATACACAGAAATACAGGGGTCGATGCTTTAAATGTACTTTTTATGCTGTAGTAATCTCTCTGAGCCAAAAGTTCAGGTTGCAAACTACCCTAAAAGCTGTTTTCTTCTACTCTTTGCTCTGTATGATCTCACAGAGAGCAGGATTGGCTAACACAGTCACCTCAGGCAAAGCTCTGGCCAGTCAGAAGAAAACTGGCTGAAAGGGAGAAAACCTTAAACAGCTTGTGTCCCCCTGCGAAAAAACTGGGTGCATGTCCATGAGATGAAGTCTTTAAATGCTTTGTCCCTTCCTTCACGGAGAATCAAATAACACCAGGAGTCTTTCAGAAACATGGTGTTAATTCTTAAGGCTTTTAATCTGAAAAGTGACGTATTCTTTATGCCATTCTAGTGTCCGACTTCCTGTCCACATCATTCTGAATGATGTCGAGTTGAGAGCTGCTTCTGGGACACTTCTGAAATGTTGAAGTACAATCTGATAGAACTGCAAGCCATCATTTCATGTAGAAGGGTGGATTATTGTGAACTATGACTCATGCTGAGCTACTCTAGCAGAGATCAAGTCCAAACACGGAGGTGGAAATGAGGAGAATAGATCCCCTTTAACTATGCATCCATTGGCTTCTCTGTCAGGTGCCCATCCGCTTTTTCAAATATTCGAACATTGCTTCCTTGAATATTTTAGCCACTCTTTAAAGTTCTTGCATTTTTAATATCATTAAAAAAAATAACAAATCAACAACTGAAAGGTTCGAGGCCACAGAGAACTTGAAACCACTTCAAGAGCCATTTTTAATTCTTTTGTCGAATCTCTCTCGTAGTTCCTGTCATTTCAGATCATTAAGTCCTGTCATGACGCAAACATCTGTTCAAATACCACTCAGTGCATTTTTACTAACATGTCATGTAAACATGTGGCTAAGCAACAATGCCGTGCCACCAAGAGGAGGAGAGAGAGGAAACCGAAACAATGCGTTCCCTGCGGATGACTTTACCGCCGCTGTCAATCTGTGACCTCAACGCTCACTTTGTCTTTGTGTTTACACTTCGGAAATACTTTTCCGTCAACCTCGTGCCGATCTCTTCTATATGAAACTGTCCACACCTAGTTTCTGTTCAATGTCAATCAGAGCAGCTCACTATCTGGATTTACAAGATTCCAGGGAGGTGAGGGCGAACTCTGAAAGGATGTGCAGTATCAGACAATCATAATGTTCTTTATTTGCTTTATTTCCTCATGAACCCCAACAGAATGTCAGATTTAATTTGGCCAAGTAGCCAATAGATATAAAAAGGCACCTATCACATGACTGGAACATTAAACTTAACTCTGAACCCGGAGGTTCACAGGAATGAGAGATGATTCTTTTTAATTTGAAGTTTATTACTTCCAAAAATTATTAAACTGTCTACTTTTTTCTGTCAGTAATAAGCCAGCTCAGTGTCCAGTAGTAATGGCTCATTGTGCAGCTGTGCAGACACAGCATCCACAGAGCCTGTGCTCCAGTTTAAGTGAAGTTTTAGGATTTTGTCAGTCTGTTAGTTCGTACTCATTAGCAGGTGTCTTTGTGTACAGTTTAAAACACAGGTTCAGGCTAACATGGCGGTGGCCAAAACACTAATGCTGAACCTTCAAAATGAGTCCAAAACCAGTGGTTGATGCCACGATAGGCTGCCCTGTTAGGAATTATATTTCAAATCAGGGATGTCAAAGTTGTGCTGCAGTCATCAGATGGCGTGAGGCTCTGCATCAAGGTCTGTGTGCCTGCAATCTTTTATGACATGTGAGGCCCTGAGGTGACTTTAAACAAGTAAAACAGAAATGACTGCTCGCTTGGGGTCAGCAACTTTCTGTGTTCCCAACAGAGCACAATCCCTGCTTTCCGTCTTTGGCGACAGAGCAACTCAACACTTTTTCCTTTAGTGACCTCAGATTTTGTATTAAAGCAATATGTGAGATCCATTTCACGCAATTAAAAAAAAAAAAAAGAACAAAACAAGCTGTCTATGTATATCTGTGACTGCCCTGAAGAAGAAGCACAGTTTCCAGTGTTAGCAAACAGTCAGATATGAGTCCAGATGTGCGGCAGTGCTTACTTGACGACATGTATCGTGGAGCTGAACGCTCGGTTGTCGTGGAGCCAGTCGAGGAAAGCTCGCACCCTCTCAGAGAGAGGAGTCTCCAGCTCCGGAATGTGACTCTAGGAACCAAAGAGGACAAGAGGGGAAACAAAACAACAACGCTGTTGTTAGTGGCGTGTTTCAGATAGCGCAGATTCACACAGTCAACCCCGGCTATACAATGTGGTTAACGGGAACATGCCTGTGGTGGGGAGTGTGGGCTTGTAGGTGGATCTATGAGGCACTGACCCCTTGCTAGAAAGATAAAATAAGCAGCATAAACAAGTGCTGACTCGCCGTTTGCTCTGGGTGTTGCCATCACGCCCTCGGCGTGGTAATGACAGAACTTTCTAGGTGGCTGCACAGTTTGTTAAAAAAGCAGAAAAGCTACATCAGCATGTCTGTTCTGCTGGACAAGTTGTTTTTTTCTAACTAAGTGAACAGAAACACAGCTCCTTCACTGTGGAGCTCAACTGTGAGTCATTTTCAGGGGAAACAAAATGTCGCATTGCATCATTCAGCCAGCGACTGGGCGGCGCACACACACACACGTGCGTGTGTGTCAGTACAGACGTTTCCCTAATCACGCTTCTCTGTAACGTCCTGATGTGCTGGATGTAGAGGGAAAATAAAAGCTTCATTGTACTTCAAAAGATTAATCGTCTCTTTGAACTGTTTGCATGTGCATTTCTACTCAAATGAGTCTTACTGACCATGTTGGGGGGAATTGAAGCGTAGTTCGGGCAGCCCAAAACATCTCGGATGAACATTTCGTTGCAGCATTTGCCGATCCACAGATAAAACACCTGGACAGGCAGAAGAGCAGAGGAGCATTACCGCACAGTATACTTTCTACACACACGCTGACATGTGTGCGTCTTAATCTGCCATTACTAAAGAGCCAGCAGGGCCAATGTTATTAATATCACCACTCTAAACTATGACAGTGAAGAAGAAAAAAAAATAAAACAATTATAACAATAATTTTCTCTTTTAGTTTTTTCTAGGGTTTTTCCCATAAATTTCTATTTCTTATCAATTCCCCCTTCGTATACATCCTCCCATACATTTGACTGTTTTTCTCATAAATGTTTTTTTCCTCATAGATTATAAATTTATAATTCTTTCTCTTAACTTTGAGTTTTTTCTTGTAAGTTTGTGAGTTTTTTTATTTTCAATAAATTTGTGGCTTTATGTTTTGCCTTGTTTGTTTGTTTTTTTTGTAATATTAAAACCCTGCCACCTTTTAAAAAAAAAATCTTTATTGGCATCAAATATACCATTGCACTAGTGAGAAGTTCACTCACAAATTAGATTTGGTACCAAGTTTATTACTGATACTTTCCAGTGATAGTCTGAAGATTGGAGTGTTTCGGTTTCTTTCTGTATTTAATTTGCTGCAGTGGAAAATCCCTTTAAATTAAATTATGCGACATTAAACTTAATGAAAACTGGGCTTCAGTGCTGCTGCTGCTGTTACTCCGAGGCAAATAATAAGACAATAAATCCCAACTCCAGTCCTCAAGCAATCACATATTATTTCAGGCAAAGACAACTTCTCTTTGATTTGCTCTAAATGATGACCTAAGGTTTATTGCATTTTATTAAAGGACTAGATGGTGAGAAGACAGAGACGTGAAAAATATAAACGAGGTGAAATAAAGACTTCTCGGAGCTTACGTTGCCACAGTCCATGAGGAAAGCTCCATCTCTGCTCAGCCTCTCAGCAGACAGGTGGAGCAGATGAGGCTGAGGGACTATGGTATCGTTCAGATGAAGCGCCCCCTGCAGGTCAGACAACTTGTGAGCAGAGTAT